ATATCAAACTAATCTATCCTACATTATTACTAATACTCAAATCTAGGTGAGCCATGGCCACTCCAGTTGGTTTAGGCAATGAATAAACTAGTCTGAGCTTCTATTCTTTTTATAATATTTTTAAAGTAGATTAATGCTTTATGTTATAATCTCAATTAAATATTCAATAAAGTTAGAAGCATGGCCTCACCATTAATATTAAAAAAAAAAATAAAGTAGAATCGGTATACTTCGAGTTCTTTCGCCAAGTTTTAAATCTGAAGGCTGTGTAACTATCAAGAAACAACATTTCTTTCTCATACCTTTACCACCCTCTATTGGCAAATGCCATTGTAGAAAATTCACACTAGTTTTACTTCTGCTAACTATAGAATTGTATATACTCAACAAACTACAAATAAACAACCCAATAACTCTCTATTTAGTATTTCTGATTCTCAATTAAGAAAAAATGAAGCACTTCCAAAATCTCTTTTAAGAGAACCTTTAGCTAAAAATGTATCTCAACAAACTAATCCCTTCAAGCCACATTTTGTATCCTATTTCTCAACTTTGGAACAGACCAAACACTAACTGCAATCATTCCTCATTCACAACACCACCATACTTGTGTCATCTGTAGAAACAAAATGCTTCCTTGTATTGCTACTGAACTAAATAACTATTCTTTTGACTATGGTGCTTCAGTTATCTTTAAAAACAAGCTTATTCATAGAGCTTGTATAGACCATATTAAAGGTATAAAACTTATATCCTTACTAATAGCCTCATTAAATTTTGTTCAACAAATGATGGTTTGCTTTATTAAAACAGCTAATGGTGTCACTCTTATTCTCAAACAACAACTCATTATTGCACTAGTCAAACTCTGAAAACTTTCTTATAAAGAAAAAGGTAAAATCTTGTCTTCTTTATTTTCTAAACAACCAAAAGAAAACCAACAACATCAACAACAACCAGAAAACAATTTACAGAAACGACAACAAAAAGAAAAAGAAAAGGCTGATGATTAACAACTACAAAATGATAATAATAATGACCAAAACAAAAGTTCTGACCAACAACAACAGCAAAAACAAAAGCAAAGACCTACTAGAGATACAACTAATGATTTAGATTGGTTTAAAGAATATCCAATTTCTGAAAATATGCAGCTTTTTACCAAATTTGACAACCCATTAGCTTATCAGCTTTTTGAATTTATTAAACCACACTTAATCGACATTTATCTTGGAAAGATCACTAAAAAAGCAGATAGTTTTAATCCTGAATCCAAATTTACTTACAAATATTTATTTAATAAATTGGCAGGTTTATGGCCTAAATTTCTTACTAACTTTATCTATGATAATAATACAGACATTGATAGAGCTATCTCTATACTACAGTCATACCTGGGTTATATCACTCCTTCTTTCCAGAGCATTTTTGGAGATATAACTAAGGCAGAGATATAACTCAATATATGTAACCTATAAAACATATAAAAAAAAAGAAATTTATTCTGCTTAAATATGGGGATATAATTCAGGTTGGGATATAACCCAGTGGGGATATAACTCAGGTATGACTGTATTTGATATTCTTTATGCAACATTAATATCACTTCTTAAAGAATTTACCATCACCTGGTTTACTCAAGTCGATTACTCTAAGATTCTAACTGCATATAATACTATCCCACCATATACTATCTCTAACCATAATCAAGTAGCATTAAATCTAGCACAAATTCACCTTATATTTTACGAAAAATACAAAAAATTAATGCCAAAAAATTCTGTGAAGATTTAAACATTTGTCCAATCTGACTTAGACTTCATTACTTTTATAGTTTAGATACTATTAACCAACTCTTAATTAAAATTCAGAATAACAATTCTTTTAACATCAACATTTCACTGAATATTCCTAAAAGAGAATACCTATGAAATGCCCTCACTTAAAAACATTCTGATTACTTCGATGCTAGGTTTCAAAATTTCTTCAATCTCTACAAATGCCAATTTTACAAAATTGATAAAAAGAAGGTCTGTAATAATATTGCCCGTAAACTATCTGAAAATTGCAAAAAACTTTTGCCAAAAATATTTATATTAATTCTCTATGAGAGTGATTAGCCAAAGCCTGTAAACAAGCATTATTTCACATTTATACATGTAATATTAAAGAATATGACACACTTTCTGAAGATAAAGAACATAATATCAAAATTTTATTACAATTTTATTTTACAAAAACCTTTGCCTATTATCCAGCATCCGAACACTTTATCTCAAAACCTCAATTAAACCAACCAATCTTAGACTTCTCTATCTTTGAAAAAGAAAAGGCACACATGGCAACCTTTAAGAAACCTACACCTATTTCATTTATGTGCAGACTTGCTAAAGAAAGAGAAGATGAATGTTTAGAACTAAACCAAGTTGAAACTTACCCTGCTAGAGAAAGTTACTATTTCTATAGCTACTTCAATGAGTATCTTAAAGCAGCTGCAATTAACAATAACATTAAAGGCCAACCTGTCCATGAGGTTATTTTTCAAATTACATCAAAACCAACAGATACTGGCTATTTAGCTTGTATCCTCACTTACTTTTGTATTCTTTTCAAAAAGAGAGATAAATTATCTATTCAATATATCAGGAAATACTACAATGAAAAAGCTTATCCTGAGGCAGAAAAAATACTACATACCAAATTTAAGATCAATTTTAAAACTCCTTAAATAGCAGCTAATCTATTTAAACTGAATACCATAATCTTCAAAAATCTAAACTAACAACATTATCTACATCAGATTCCAATAATACTACACCACCCTCAAATACTAGCTATGCAAATATTTTTAAAGATTCTAACACCATATTAGATAATAATTTAGCTCAACAACATACATAAATAATTATTAGCTCTGATGATGATGTTATTATGACTGACTCTAATACCAATAAGACTCTAACTCCAAATTCCACAACAACTTCAAATACTACCATAACTGAACTATCATCTCAAAGAACCTTAACTGACCCTTTTCAGTAGTTGTTTCTTCTGTAGACTACATAGAAGCAGACACTGTTTCTGAGATTATGATGTTCTCCACATATTGTGGGCTATTCTCAAAGGAGAATAATATAAGTGAACAGGTGGTTAAGTCCATTTACGTGGAGGACCAGTATAATGTTGGTCAGACCAAATGTATATAGCAAACTATGGAATCCTTCACAGCTGTGAGAGCTGAGCATAAAACGGTAAGCGCCCCTATAGAAGAAATCTTATCTAAATTATTATTAACATTACTAGACCCCTATGATTTAAATATATGCTATAATAGATATCTCAACTATTATCAATTACCTTTATTAAGAGAACCACAAACTATCAATTTATTTAGACAACACTAACTCAAAACAATGCTAAGCATCTTGCTTGTAACCTCCTTATTTCAGTTAACAGTGACAAAACTGAAGCACATGTATACTTACCTAATGATCCTAATATACTACCAAACCACCATATTTTTTCTATAATATATAACTCAGATGATATTCTACTAAGATCTAAACTAAATACACCTATTTTTCCTACTACTTCCTTCTCCTCTAGTACAACTACCTTACTAGTAGACTATTCAGTTAACTCTAGAACTAATCAGGCACTTAATATCTCTATATGTACACACAATGTTCAAGGATATAATGTTAATCTCAAACAACAAGTTTGGGAAGATTTTTGCATTGCTAACAACCTTAATATTATAAGTATTATTGAGACCAAAATTGCTAATGAAAACACCAGTACCAAATTCTAAAAATCTAAATTTTTCTCATATTACTAGTCCTGTACCAATAGCTCCAAAGCAGATATAGCAATCATGCTAAGCAAATAGCTTAATTCTCATATATACAATATTACAATCTTCTCTGGATATGCAATTGCCATTGATCTTTTCTTTAAATATTATTTTAAATTTAGAATTATTTCTATATATCTATCTAATGATGACTCTCAACTTAGATTACAAATTTAAAATACTATAATTTAATGGATTCAACAAGCAACTGGCAATAATTTGCAACCGATTATAATGGGAGACTTTAATGCAGAAAATAACAATTTACATTTGACTTCTATTAAATATAAGCTACTTCAGTTTCTCTAATATAACAACATATATAACTTAGCAACTTATACTCAATCCTCAACATTTATCTGGTAAAGTAATAGAGCCTAAAGTTGTATTAACTACATATGGGCTAATCACACAATTCTCTGATATCTAACTTCTTTTCATACTGATGATTCAGATACTAGTACTACAAGTAACCATAAAATTTTAATTTTTTCTTGGTCCTTTCTATATGCTTTTAAGATAAAAAATGAACTACAACCAAGACCCACAAAAGAATATTTTTTTACAAGAATATAAATCAGGAATCATGCAAAATTTCACAGATCAGGTTGCCTCTAATCTTAGAAATAACAATACACCACTAGATACCAACACATCCAAATCACTTGAAACAACTTGGCTAAAATTCAAACAAGTATTATTAATGCTGTATTACAACACATTTCAAACAAAAAATATACAGTACACAATTTTCAACATATATTTTCGCAGAAGGCATCCTTATTATATTTCAATCTCAAAAAACTTAGAAATATTATTCGACAAGTGAAAGTTGTGCTAAAAAATCAATTTTTTATTTCATGCCACTACAACAATACCATCAACCAAATTAACAAAACCCACCAACTTAATATTCAACCAATACTACCTGAATATTATCTATTAACAAATTGGATTGCTTCTAGCAATATAGAATGGAAAGTATTATATCATACACACAATATAGAAAACATCAAAGAAGTTAGTCAACAAATTAGTGACAACATTGCTAAAAGATGTAATAAACTCCAATCAGACCCAAAACAATGATTAATAGCATTTTAAATCGACATAAAGATTCTGTTAGATTTGAAAATATCAAGACAAACAATGACATCATTACTGACCCAACTAACATCAAATCTTACATTCAACACCACTTTAACCAATGGACTGACTACAGACTAATTAGTCAATAAATATTTGATAAAGATTGGAAAAATGAATATAATCCTAAAGCATATATTTAACAAGAATGGTATAATAATGCTTTTTAGAACTTTTTAATTGATGTAATTTCTAATACTCTATCTCAACTTTCAAATAACAAGGCATGTGGCCCTTCTAGCATCAGCTATGAAATGCTTAAACATGCTGGCTTTCTCTTTCTTAAAACAATAACTGCACTCTTTAACTGATGCATTAATCTTAACACAATACCTAAACAATGGAAGCAAGAAAGAATCTATTCTATTTCTAAAAAGCCTATTTTGATGAAAATTTAACTAATACCCAACCTATTAGTTTACTTAAACACATTGAAAAATTATACACAAAACTCCTCACTAATCGATTTAACCAAATTTTCACTAAATATACAATTCTCTCACCATACAATTACATTGCTCTTCCAGGCAATTGTATAACAATCCCATTATATATTCTCAACAATATCATAAAG